AAATTTAAAGTGTAAATCAAATATAACGCTTGATAAAGAGTCTGTATTTCTACAAAGAGTGGTTAAAGTACAATTAGCAAGAAATATAAAAGCAGAATACCTCTGACATTAAAGGATGAGCTATAGCATCAGGCTTGATGACCGCCAGGGTGAGCTGTAGCGCTTTGGACAGGCGGCCAGTAGTCTGTAACATAGTCTTTAGACAGGAAAGATATTATTGAAAATAAACAGTTTGACCTGTTGAATATTATCAGTAACACCAGCCTAAATAAAGGGGGGGCTATTACAGTTCTTTAATGTCTACCATTAGAAAAAATGGTGAATGAAAAATTTCTATCAGCAAATATGTTTTTCGAAAGCATATACATCTAAACTTTTAGGTAATACCGACCTTTGCTGTTGATGTCCACTATAAACGTTTCGTTTTGAACGGTTTTAACCGCTGCTCTTGTTCCCGTTTTATTGAAAACTATTTCCGGTGTGAAAAAAATATAACATGTTCTGGTGATACAATCGGAAAAATATAAGATGTAACTCAGAGCTAACTTCAAAATAATAGACTAACATTAAGAAATATTTCAGAGATATATGGATATATCTTCCATATATCTCCATTCATGTCAGTTCCCCTGATAAATGCAATCCCCTGAAACTAAGCCCTGCAAAAATTGTTCCGCCTTTATCAAATAAAATTAATGTAATGGTTTAACATCATTAAAAACACAAAACATGTTGAAGATTTTTCTTTAAATACAAAAAAATAAGAATTGTAGTGTTTCCCTAACTCAACACAAAATAACTGTTATAATCACAGCCCAATTTCTAAACACTGAGCACAGCTTGTGCTGCTAGTAAATCTGCTCTGCTGTCTTTAAACATGCAAACAATTAAAATACATTTAAATCGACCAACCACACATTTTTTAAGGCAATGATTTTTATAATTTCACTTTAATTGTTCAAGCTGGCTTTAAGATCGACTAAGATTTCCAGTCACTCACTTTTCCTCAAATTCTGAAAATTTCTTGAGTTTCAGTTTTTCTCAAAACTTTATTTCTATGTAAATTTTGATGTTTTTGTGCTGAATATAAATCTAACGTACACTTAATCAATCAGTAAGTGGTTGGTATAAACAAATTTTCCTTCAATGTGCTCTGATTATTAATAGCAAATCAAATTTAGAAAAGTATAGGATTCTTTTTCTCTTTTTGTCAAAACTTGTTCACTTTATATCAGTTTTTTTTATTTTTTAGATGTCCTTTTTAGCTGGATTCCTAACAATTACTTGCATTTAAGTGTCAATGGCATATTTTATCTCTTAAACATGTAATAGAGTAACAAAAAAGAAAAGCTTGATAATGAATTTTCACAAATCCTCCTTGGCACGTTGTTATTTTGTTATGATCTATTATGAATGTGGCCACAAAAGTAAATGTTATATAATTTTGGCAACAAAAAAAAGTTGTGTCTTTAACTTAATAATTTCATCAAAAATCATTTTCCTTTTAAACACATGAACAGCCAAAAGTCTCCAGGGATTCAGACACATTAACAACATGCAGGAACTGTAGCTGGAGAGATTTCTGTTAGATCAGGCAGCTGGACTTACTAATACATTCCTGCTATGCAAAATGGCCACACCCTGAAAAGCAGAGTGTCCGGTCAAGTGCATGTGCATTTATGTGTTTAGAAAGGGGAGAAACTGGCAGTAGGTGGGGGTGGGGGAATCCAGCATAGGTTTCTCCCACCTGCCCGTGTCATGTGTCATGTGACTTTGGGGTGAATCCACAGCTGTCACCTCCATGAGGCGTATAGAGGGGCAAAGAGGAGGGTGGCTGTGGGGGTTAAAGAGGACATCTTTTTGTACGTAGGCTTAATGTTCTTGTTAGTAGCTTAACTAATACCTCAATTATAAACTTATTTGCAATGCCATTAAAAACTGTTAATACAATAGTTAACTCGCTTAATGTGGGGCTCAAACTGTAGAAAACTTATTTCACCAAATGTATTAAAAAATTTAGAAACCATTATGTAACAAAACACTTCATATGAATCTGTTAATTGGAAACCAAATGTTAAATTGGGGATCTTTGTTCAAATTAAAAGTACTGTTTTTAAAAAATAAACATTTATGGCACATCTCACACTTAATATTATGCACAACTCCATTTTCCCCAAAGTACAGTATTTTACTGGTTATCTTTAACATAGAATACATATAGACAGAGAGGCATTTAACAATCGCTATAAATAGTTCTGGATCCTCAGCAATAATCTATTTTCATCAGCTGCCCTCCCAGGTTATATACTACATTAACGCATCTGTCCCTCCATAAATACCCATAGAGGAAGCTGCATTTTATGTCTGAGGATCCATTTCTATGTTGATTTGGACAAACGTTTTAGATTATAGTCATGCTAAAAGAACCAATAACTTTCAATTTTTTTTTTTTTTTTTCAAAATGTTCAGCAGAATTTTTACTTTAAAACACTGGTATGGTCTATTATGCCACACATTCCAACAAGGAGGAAGAAAAACTGACCTGCAAGATCACTAACAGTGGTCCTGAGGTACTTTTCCGTATACTCTTTTGTTTTACACAAACCTACATACAGCATTTGTCTCCACAAAAAGTAATTTTGTCTTATATGTCCAGAGCACACAGTTCCAGTTAATGTTTCTGTAGAATGTAGTGAACTAATCACATTTAGCTCTGTGACATGTGCCAGAAAATTTGTTTTCCTCTATATGCCTCCTAAATGACCTTATAATTCTGCTTAATAGTATGGAGACTCTGTGACCCTAAATGCAGCTCTGACTTAGTTGTCATTTAGCTGAATTCCAGGCCATGTTCCACTTCTCCTATTCTGAAGATCAGCTTTGAGAAACTGAAAAGACAGGAGAATGTGGCATTCTCCTGTCTTTCACATTTGAAAAATTAGGTTTGTAAAATAAGCTCTATTTTTCCACATGGAAAACAGGAAGCCTTAAAACTCATAAGATCTGTTAAAACTGTATTACAAGCAGAAGATTCCATATCTCGAAAAAGTTAGTAACTGCAGCTGTTGAACCTGGACCAAAATATACATCTACATTTTGAACATAGGATTTTTTTATTAAACTTTATAACCTTTTTTTTTTTTATTAATCTTTCAGTTTCATAGTTTGCTTTCTTGAAATAAATGTTCAACCAATAATCCCCAGCTAGGCCTGCTCTGCTTTTGCAATTTTGTGTTAACGAGTCATAGTCATGCCACGCACCCAAACACATTTTTGCACAGGTAGCACATTCTTGTTTCATACAAAGCTTTTCCAATTAATCTATTCACCCAGTTGGCCTATTAATTTTGTTGTTTGTTTTGCTCTATTTATTAATAATAATAATAATAAAAAAGGTATGTACCATGTATATTTACCATAAGACCTGAGGTATGAGATTGTCTATGCATGAAATTACTAAACAATAAGTTTGTTGCTAACCACCTGAACACCTAAAGAAGAAAAAAAAAAAGTAAAAATGAGAAGCAATGATGCAAGTCACTAGTGCCAAGTAGAGGTGCAAAAAGAAAGAGGGAAACTCCAATATCAAGTTTGGAAAAAGTGCAGAATAGGTTTGATTCCAAGAGTAATGAGACATGAGTAGTGGCAAAACATACAGTATTAACATAGTGATCTTAGAAACAGGAACTAAACTGCTTAAACATTCAGCTTGTATTGTTAAATGATGTATGTGTGAGTTTAAAGCCTTACCGTTATAGCAGTATTGTTATTCTTAAGCTCATAGTTTTGCTAATAGAAAAGGTTTTATGGAATTTAGTGCATCCAATGGTCACTATTGTTCAAGATCCGAGTAATTCCAAATTGATCAAGTATTCTAACCATACTAACACTGATACTTCACTTAACACACTTCTGACACATGAACTTCTTGGTTCATGTGTCATTAGCAAGCTACTGTATCATACATGATGCAGATGGTGCAATCCCATGTTTATTATGTCTGCTGATCCAGCTCAATGCAAAATATATTTTCAGGCTCAATGTACATATAGTTTGAGAGGTCAACATTCATGATCATAATCCCACAATTGATCAAGCTGCTATTTGGATTTGGAACAGCATGTCAAACCCCCCCCCCATGGAGCTGTTCTTTCTAGACAGCTCTATCAAGCCAAATCTTTACCTTGTGTTTTAGCATCTGATCTTTTGCGGATCTCCTGTTATGTTTCTAGTATCCAACAATACAGTGAACCTATCCAGCTCCAGCATCTCTAGCTCTTGTTAAAGAAAGGGCAAAAAAAAGCGTTTGTTAAATAAACTGGCTGCGGATCTGCAGTAGCAGCAGCTAGGGCATCCAAGGCAGGGAACTCTGGAGAGAGGAAACACAGGTTAGTGACCATGGTAACCTGATGGAGGATGAAATGAACATATGAGTCACTAACCTGATTTAGAGTACAGTCTGTTCCCAGAGAATAAAGTTGATACCAGTCGGTCGACTGACAAGATGCAGCGGTTGCCACATAGAAAGTTCCAGACCCTGAAGTCTGAAGATTACAGAACTGACAGGAGATCAGTTCCAAGGAGATGAAGGAAGGCAGGATAATCCAGAGGACGAAGTCAGGAGACAGATGCAGGTACAGTCCACAAGTAGAATCAAGCAGGAGTCCGAAGACAGGTAAGGCAAACAATTCAGTGAAAAGGCAGGCTCAATTGTAGAAAAGCAGAACAGGATCAGGTCATCAGAATCACTAAGGTACACCTAAAACACTCTCACCACAGGCTGGAGAATTAATCTTGCCCTAATGACTGGTAGCAGGCAGCTTAAATAGAGGCAGGGGCCGGTGGATAAGATGAGCAGCAATGGGAAACCGGGCGGAGTGACTGGTAAATGTAACTGGTGAAGACAATAAGTAATTAAGTAAATCAGTGCCAAGATCATGACAGTATACCTATCAATTAGCTGCTTGTTAACCCTTCCCATTTCTCCTCCCTTCCAGTGGTGTTTATGAAGGAAGTTGAGGCCACCAAAAGGGCATGAAACCCTCTATATGTGCTCTTCACGACCTTCCAGTATTCCCTGATAAAGCCAACATTAATCCCCTCAGTATTTTTATTAGTGTTGCACCGATACCGATACCAGTAACGGACGGGGCCCCAATACTGCCCTAAAATGGTGGTATCGGTATCGGCGAGTACCAACAAATAGGGCACCGATACCATTTTGAGAGCCATAAGTTTATTCAACTATTGTCACCCACTCCTGGTAGGCAATAAAAAGTTCTACTGGATTCACTTTGTATTAGATTTTTTCCCTGCTTCACAAAGGTAGGCAGCAGCTTGACAAAGCCATGATGGCAATTATTTTGCATTATTATGGTATCGGCATCGGCCAATACTGCATAGCCAGGTTTCGGGTATCGGTATCGGGGCCAAAAAATGGCATCGGCGCAACACAAATTTTTATTGGCATCATATTGAATAAATCTTTAAACCTGGTAAAATTCCCCCCACTTTGATATACCTCCAAGACCTGGTAAACTATAGACCCATTTCCAAACTTCCATTCTCCCCTACTGCCTTGGAGAATTTATTCTATGTGCATATTCAAGAACACCTACTACA